GTGTTTTTGGTTTGGGAAATGCGATAAGTCTTTTTTATTAACTTTATGTTTGCATTGAGGGAAGTTAAAAGGAAATTAAAAAAATATAGAAATTAGTAAAAAGAAATAAAAGGGGGGTGAGCATCTATTGATTATCGTAATAATATGATATAGATAGATAAGAACATTGTTTGCTGTTGCAAGTGCGACTTTCCGGGGTGCAAAGGATTTCTTTCTTTCATTTCTCCTCTGGCATGTAAAACATATTTACTAATCGTGAAGTATGATGACTAGCAATCATATCATGTGTTAGTTTCGCAATCTTTTTCCTTGTATGTTGATGGGTTTAATTCAGTTCTCTTAAGCTTTCTTGTGCTGCCCTTTTTTTCTCCTCTTCTGAAGATTCTTTAGCATAGCATAATATAAAATATTAGGAACAACAAAAAGGTTTTTGAGCATGTGTCTAAGTATCATGGAGTTGACTTGATGGCAAACAATTGACAGAGGAATTTTGGTTGTATTCAGATATTATCGAGGAATTAATAAAGAATGGCAAGGAAATTGAGGCCATATACTTTGCTTCTGAGTCTGGTTTAACTGAAAGATTTTCCCCGATTTCTCTGCTAAAATCATATCTCCGCAACTCCAAAAAGAATGCTTCCACTATTCTTAAAAACGGGAGTTATAGTGCCCGTGCAACGGTATGTATAAATTTTACTGAGTCTTCTAGTGCTCCTGCAATATCTCAGTCACCCACGAATGACTTTGCACCTGTCTGCAATATGCTGATTGAAGTCAGTCAATCTTTCAGGAGGAGTCAAATGCCGCAGAGTTGAATTCTATTAGAGCCATCATCAAATGTGTAGAAGATCACCGACTCGAGCCAGAGTTCTCTCTTGATAGTTTACGCAAACGAGCTAGTCAGCTGGAGACAGCTAAAGCAGAAAAGAAAAAGAGTTCAGCATCCACCACCAAGCCTCAAAACAAACGAAGCCATGGTGCTGTTGTTGGCCGAAGCGGTGGACCTCTTTTCCGTCCTGCCAAAGCTGCTAAGTTTTCAAATGCTTATCCGTCTTTTGCTCGCAGAAATGCAGGTCCACCCATGCAGCATGGGCCTGCCGGGAGATACGCGGCACCATATACCTATCCTGGCCAGAGTGTATATGAAGGTGCAAGTACCTATGCATCCACATATGGTGGGACCCCCTCACAAAGTCCTGCTGCAATTTCTCAACAACATTACTCGGTACCTGTTGAAAATGTGAGCACAACTGCCCCTGGGTACCGGGTTGGTGGTTCTTATGGCGGCCAAGCTAGCTATGGTTCGTATGATTATGGCTCTGCCGCTCCAGCCACCTACCAACCACCACCATATGGTCAATAGTGAGGAGATTTTCTGGGCCGGATAAGGAAACGCTACCCTTGACTTTGCCCCCTCTCCCACCTCATTTCTTGCGGTTGAAACTGGAAACTAATAGGATTTCCGTATGGATGTACCCTGAAAGATCGAAAATGGATTGCTTTCTCCGGAGAGATTATTAAGTGCTTCAGGAGCAGAAGCAATTCTTTTAAGATAAATGTAGGATCGGCTTGGTTGACTCAGACTTGGGCTATGTTTGGGAAGGTTGATGTAGTGAGAGGTCATTTACTCTAATCTACTATATAAATTTAACAAAATATATCTTTTTTTCTTTTTTCTCTCTCAATATTGTCTATTTCCTGTTCTATTTCTGGAAAGCATTCGGACAACTTTTAAAGCCGGTTTGTTTCCAGAAACCAGCCATTCACAAATATACCTGCCTTTATTTTACATTTCCATTATTACTGCTGTTTTGGAATAGCCCCAAAAACTTCCTTCGGAATTTTGACTTCTTGTCTTTGACTATTTGAACAGGAAGTTGTAAATCTGTTGTCCTGATTTGTTTGAAATTCAGGCCATGTCGAAAGTTTGGAAAGATTGGGTCCTTGTTTTAATTGGAACCCGTGTATAAATTTTCATAAAAATTTCATTTGTGTTATCATGTCTCCGGCGGAGCTGCATAAAACACCTATTGCGTCTGCTGACTAGTTTTTTTTTTTAAAAAAAAAAACGATTTGCATATAAATTTAGAAAAATAAAATAAAAGTAATACAGTCTTGTTATGATCACATAGTAATTTACGACTTTTATGAATTAAATAGTAATTTGATCTCTAAATTATTAATTTTTGTCTCAATTTTATATCAAATTATTTCTGTATTTTGTTTTTTTTTTTTTTTAATTTCTGATTTAGCTTCTTTTATTATTAACACCGTAAATTAATTGATTTATATGCTGAGTGAATATTATGTCAAATATTACATGATAATTAAAAAATTATTGTGAATTAATTCAAATCAGTTTACAAATAAATAAATAACTGACAATATATTGCAAAAACCCTAAATCATTCTAACTACATTCCTCAATCTTAGCTTCTCATCCGAGGTGCAACTCATTCTCTTTAACCCTATTCATGGCGTTTTCAAAACTCCGCGTTCTCACATAGTCATCATACACAAGACATAATCTGTCAGTTGTACATAAGCCCTTAAAACTCATCACGTTCCTATGGTTCAAGCTTGCAAGAACCTCAGACTCTGGTTGTATACGTCTCTATGCTGACTTGATGTGCCATAGGGTTCTGGCTTGTTAATAGCCCATTGTCAACCATTATGGTGTAATAATTTCCATTTGGGCTGGATCCTAGTAAGTTGAGAGAGCCTATTGAAGGGGGACCCAATAAAGGAAACGAACTAAGAAAGCAAAGAGAAATGCTCCAACGAATCCAGTTAAAACCCCGTAGAACAACAATGGAGTGTTACGCAAGTCCTTGGATTGCAGTTGGCATATGTGTGGGGATAGTAAAGAACGAAGAGGAAAAGGAAGGAGAGAATGCACATTCCTCCTCTCCATTGATCATGAAAAATCCCACACTCCTTCCCAAATCTTTTATTTTTCTGCCATAAAACGTAGGATTGGATTGTGTCTTATAATTTTAATTATATCAAAGGCTACGAAATTTCACAATTCCCGACTTACCAATCGTTCTGACATGTTTCACAAATGAAGACTATCATCAACAAATACCTACTCTTTTTTTAGTCTGATAAATTTTTATTAACGTTTAAATTACACTTGTTATAATAATTAATATAAGACAGGAAGAAAACTATTTTGCTTCCCAATGAGGAAGGAAGGAAGGAAGAGTATTATTTGCTAGACCGCAGCTGTCCCGAAGCCCACATTAAATACGTTCAAATTCCAGCATTTATTTCGAGCTATCACTTAATATCATAAATGCAAAAAAGAAAATTAGTTGTCTCGTCTCTTTCTTTTAATTTGCATAAATTATGTTTTAATTTAAAATTCAGATGCTTTATTTATATCATTTAATTTATAGGTTTTTAGATTTAACCATATATTATTTAATTTATAGACTCCAAAAAAAAAAAAAAAAAAAAACCTTTAATCATATTTATTATAAGAATTTCTAGATAAACATTAACCACATGCTATTTTTATAGAGAGATAAAATTTCTTCTTTTTTCTTCCATAATTAATGATTATTATTTTATAAGGTATTATTAATTAAATAACGTAAGTTATTTATTTTTTAAGTTATGATAAGCTTTAGGGGAACTAAATCTGATGCATTGAAAAAACATTACAAAAATTTAGAAAATTCTCACATCTCAAGAAAAATTAATAAACTAATAAAAGAAATTGATAAAGTGCAGGATGACCAAAATGAGTAGTAATAAAGATGGAACTGTCACAAAACACCGACAAAAGTCTTTTCTTTAGCGTGTCTGGTGTTCCTTTTATTTTGTGACAAACAATAATTTTGTACTATTTCAAAATTCAATCCAATTATTGTATGTTATCTTACAATAAATAAAAAAAAAAAAAAAAAAAACCCTTGTTTTGATTTCATTTTCCGTATTACTATTGGCCTTAATTTTTTGATTTAACATTATTAATTACTCTCGGCTGTCCGATATCACACATTGTTATTAGACTACGGCCTAATTAGTGGATGTGAATCGTATTCCCACCTAACCAAACACAACATATATCTTCTAGATTTGTGTAATAATAAAAGGACCAAATTTCAAATTATTATTATTATTATTTTCCAAAAAAAAAAAAAAACACAACAATTTGTGGCATGAGGCTGTCCCTTTTCTATTTAATTAAATTTTGATAAAAGAAAAATATTTACTTGAAAATGGTAGGAGGGTTTAATTATAGAATTAATTATTTGAGTTAGAGTTGGAACCTTTTTTTTTTTTTTTTACTATTTAAAGAAAAAAAAATTGGCATATTGATAATAAAACTTTAGTTGACCCAAAAAGATACCTAGGTTCTTTTCTTATAATATATATATATATACTAGTTTTGTTTCATGTTGCACGCACAACATAACATAAATCTTATTGTTAATAAGAAGATAAGCTTTTTCATATAAATACAAATTATATTCCTGA